CCTCCTGGCTGTCTGTACTCTGTAGATACCTGTTGTTGCGCTCATATATAGATAGGTAGATAGATAGAAAGATTTACTGGGTTTCTTTCACTGGTCTTTTGACAAGTGACAGTTTTTGACAAGGGTGCGGGTGGTGCGGCCCACAATAGTGATAGGACAGGTCCTGGGATCCGCGCGCCCAGCTTTTCGTAGTTTGACTAGGGAGCGACCCACCATGTGACCAGGCACTGCTGAGTGCAGAGTAACCTCAACCAGTCAGTTCAGTAGTCACCCAGTGTCTAGTAACTCAGTAGTTGGTAAGGTTAAAGGTTAAGATGTCGAATTCTGTTTGTACAGCAACGGTTATTATTCACGTAGCAGCTTCAATCACAACTGTATCTCAGTTATTCAATCAGATTCAGACAGGGGAAGAAGAACAAGATTAAAAGCAAAGTTTTTTTATTATATAAGTCATTTGTTTGCTAAGCTGGTAGATCAAACAAAAGTCATATCTAATAATTAAACAAGTAAATCAACATTATAAGCTGGATGCAGGAATTACAGAAGTAATTAGCCAAATATCACTGAATTTAAATTATGTTAAAATATGTTTAGTTTTAGTATTTACGGATTTTTTTATATTTACTGTTTATTTTTTTATCCTTTTCCTCAATAACTGTGAATATTATCTTTTATACATCATTTAAAAATAGTTTGGACTTTAATCTGTTTGTTTAGTTCAGACTTCAATCAGTTTGTTTAGTTCAGACTTTATTCAGTTTGTTTAGTTCAGACTTTATTCTGTTTGTTTAGTTCAGACTTTAATCTGTTTGTTTAGTTCAGACTTTATTCTGTTTGTTTAGTTCAGACTTTATTCAGTTTGTTTAGTTCAGACTTTATTCTGTTTGTTTAGTTCAGACTTTAATCTGTTTGTTTAGTTTAGACTTTAATCTGTTTGTTTAGTTTTGAATGTTTAGTATTAGTATTTTGTGATTTTTTTTATATTTGCTGTTTATTTTTGAACCCGATCTTGTAAACCTTTGATATTTCAAACTCAGATTATTTGATTTAAAAGAATTCATAGTTTGAAATATCTAAGGTCTACAACATTTGGTTCCAATGATATAGTGATTAGAAAATTAGAGTTTGTGGCAAAGACTCAATTCCTTTAATATAAAATGCTAGTTATCCATGATACTGTTTGTTATTTAATAGTGGAGTATTTTCAATGATTTTTTATCTACTGTATATTTTTAATCTTATTCTTTTCTACAATACATTTTTAACTTTAATAATTTATTTTTTTAATTTTACAATATTTTAAAATTTTAATATGATATTAGATGGAAACATTTTGAGACTTCTATATTTCTTGTTTTTAATCCTTTCTTCTTGATCTTCCATTCCTTGTCCATCCTTCAATCACACTATGGCTAATTTTGAAAATAAAAATAAATGAATTTTTTTGGATGTTTTCTGCAGCTAGCCAAATTGCAGAGGCAGAACTATTTTTTGAAGCCCTGTATCTATATCCTATATATTGAAAGTGGATAGGTTACTCTTCCCCTTGTTTATATTTAAATTTTACTTCAGTCATGATACTGTGTTGAGTCAGTTCCTGCATTCCTAGCTTTTCTTGGAGGGGGACAGGGGTGAGGGGGGCATTTTACACATTTTCCAGTTTTTCATCTCCAAAGTTTTCTTCTTCTTTCTTGTTTATCTTGCTTTAAGCACTCATTTCTACTGTCAAGAGATTTCCCTTCCACTTTTTTCTGTTCAAATTATTTTTTCTTCTTGCTTCTTGTTTCTTGTTTTTACACTTTAAGGCCTTTCCAAATAGTTCTTTTAACACCCAGTTGTGGAGCAGGTAGGAGAGAGATAAGGAGGTTTGTAGGAAGAAGGGTATAGGGGATTTCTCCCTGTGTTCCTTCATTTTATACTGTTTCCCAGATAGGGGAATTAAGGAATTCACCCATAACTGCACCCCATATGCAAATGGGGAGTTGTGATCCCTGAAAGCTCTATTGAGAGGTATCTTCCATGGCAGTCCAGTCCTCACATCTGGTCGAGTAAAAAACCGGTATCGTTGTGCATGGCTTGTATTCGCACGAGGGGTTATACTCCTCTTTCAGTGAACCAAGCTGAAGATGAAGTTTTGTTTTAATCCATGTACAATTCTTTGTTCCCCTGTAGGATACTAGATGCGTAACTAAACACAGCGCTCCCCCAGCTACAATTCTGGGACTGCATAGTAGGTCCGTTCTGCTAGAGAGAAAGCAGGCATTTGTTTTTCTACAGTACATAACATTTCACTGTATGTATGTGTTCTCTTAAATATGAAAAAAAGACATGGTAAGTATATACTGTTCTCTACAAATTTAGGATAAGGATTTAGTGTTCTCTATATTAGTAAGATATATTTAGTGTTCTATATAGAATATTAAGGTAAGTACTAAGTATATATGTATATAAGATTTTTTTTCTTCAGATTTGTTTTGCATTTGAACATTTTTAAACAAAATTTGAAGGTTTTTTATTAATGTTTTACATAACTAAAATGTTAATAGTTCGAATTTTTTACGATCTTAAAACGTTTCTGGGAAACGATACTGGAAAACATTTCAGTAACATAAAAAGTGGTTCGTTTTGCGTAGCATTTACGTATCAGGAAAACAAAACCATAACGTAACGCTACCTTACATACGTTTCTGAAACGTTCTAGAAACAAAATTTGGTTTGTCGGGCTCCCTTGGGTCTGTCTTAGTGAACGATTTTTGTATACAATTTATAGGAATTTGCCAAAGCCAAACTTAGTTCATTGACCTAGAAAAGTTTTTTAAGGGAGGGGGGGGGATTATATTTAAGTTAAATACAAATTCTAAGTCTGTGTTTGTAAACAAAGTGAGTCCAGTTTCTGTTGTACTGTACACTCCGTATACAGACCAATTTATATATATATATACATATTTCTAAATACTTGGGACATAAAATGTCGTCATCCAACTATGAGTTTGGTCCACTTTAGTATTTATTCACTTTGAACTGTGCTAGGTAACTGAATTAAATGACAGACATGGTTTTCAAAATTCGGACCAAAAATGTCAAGTATTTTTAAAGGAGACTTGTTACAGGGGGTTATGTCCTCCCCCAGGAAATCCCCCCCCCCCACCTCCATGGAAATAATAGGAATGTAACTAGGAGAGCAGTTACCTAGAGCATTAATCTCATTTGAAGAATGTTTTTAAAACTTTTGTAGGCATTGTGCCACTTAATCACTTAAACTTAGCTTTTTTTATATCTATTAAAATCAAAATTGAAATTCCACGAGGGCATGGGGGTGGGGAGGGGGATAATATTTAATTATCCCCCTCCCAAACCCGTAAAAATTGTAAGCGGGCAGCAGCCCTAAGTATTTATTTTCCTATTTTTAAATTCCTGAAAGGGACTGTTGTTGTAATTTTAAGTGACCCTCCATTAAAAGAGAAATGATAGTGTCTTTTTTTCTCACTTAATTAGTGTTTAATTCGGTTAGTTTTTCCATTTTTACTTTAATAAGAAATGCCAAAGTAACAAAAACAGATATCTAATTAAATCAAGACACTTTAAAGGATACTGTTGAGAATCGGACATGCCACCCTTTAATGTAGGCTGAGGGTCACTTGAAATTATGTTAAAGCTTCTATATGCATAAAGGGTGATAAATCTTAGAGTTTCTTGAGTTTGTTGATATTTTAACTGTTATTTAGGTACAGTGGTAGGTGATAATACCAATATAATGAAGACGACTTTCGAATCGAATTTTGATTAATATCATGCTTTTAAACAGCATGAATAAATAAAAATATAGAATCAAAGAGAAGCTGTCAATTATAAAACCTTCTCTTTGATTACTTGTAAACTTGTAATTCGAAAAAAGCTTGTAAACAATTAAAACTTAAATAAATAAGCAGTCTTCATCATATTGATATTTTCGCTTACCACTGTATAATTCAATTGTTCATTGTTTGTTATTATTCTGAAGAAAAGCACTTTGATTAATACAATGCCCAGCTCTAGTTTTAAGTTATTTAATATTTGAAATATAATTTTTTCAGGTTGGGCACATTGTTTAAGGGATCAGGTGATGAGAATGATGATGGAGTTTGGGAGAAAAAAAACCAAGGATTCAAATTCCTGCTGGCGCCAAGAAGCACAATGCGGGAAAAAACCTGGGTGTGCATACAGGTATGAATTGTTTATTATTTAAACCTTGAGTCTACAAATCGTCATCCCATTCTAAAGTTTTCTGTAATAGATTTGCGTAGTGGAATTTTTATTTTTTTAAATCAATTTTTTTTGGGGATAAACGTTTTTGTTTTGTACAAAGGTGGGAGGGTGATAATGGAAAATATAGACCACTGTTTTCTAAAGTGGGAAAACTTTTTAAAATTTGGTCTCCTTGATTTTGAAAACTTAAAAATAATTTGAAATATATTCTTTTTCATTCTAAATAAGTTAATCCCCAGCTTATCCTAACCCTTACAATTATTCAGAGTATGAGGTCGCTGTAGACTGGAACAAGTATGTAGACCGCCCCTGGCTCTTTAAGATAAAAGCTCAAATTACAAATCTGAGGAGACAGGGGTTGGTGGAGGAGGGTCAGAACCGCTACCCCTTCCCAGCAGAGTTCTCTGATCTTCTTTCCCAGCTAAATTAATTCTCCCAAACCTCATTTTCATTCCGAACAAAATTTACAATAAAGAATAAAAACAGAATTAACATTTTTTAGCATTATTTTGATAAGTAAGAAATGTGAGTAAATGTAATTTTTTCCGGGTCTGTTGATCCTGACAGATTTAAGGAACTGTCGACCCAATTTCAAGTGACCCTCCATTAAGTAGAGGATACATGTCTGATTCTACAACAGTATGGCAGTATGATAGCAATATTGAAGGCAGAAATGTACTCAAAAAAATTTAATTTTAGATAAAGGGACTCTTGATATTTTATCGTCAGTTTTTAAAAAAGTTATGAAATAATTTTTTAAATTTTTAAAACTGAAAGTACCGAGTGATTTCAACTTGTCTACGATTTTTTTTTATATTATTTAACAAAAGCAAAAATAACATGGGTACCAACCAAATATTGGAGTTAAGGTAAATAAATAAAATTTAAAAATATTAAAAATCGAGCAAATTATGGTCAATAATCGTTTTTTTCTTTTCATGATTTTCAAGTAGTCAAGAAATGTGTTTTTGGTTTAACTCGGGTCAATTTTCAATATTTTCCAATTCTATAAATTGATAAGAATTCGAATATTCAACCTAGTATAAATAATAGCCAAATTGATAAACTTTAAAACATATTATTTTCCCTTGTTAAACTTTGCGACTTTTTTCACATTATATACCCAGCTAGCAAAATAACCGATTTCGGTTATAACGCCTCGTATATACGACAGGCTTCGCCAGAGTTGGGCGGAGCTTTGATCATCATGTCCGATGTAGGTCCTGGCGGTATAGTAAACGGCGACCACCCAGATCTGTCGTACATACGATGTAGTGTATACTACAGTGCAGATATGATCTCCCTCATCTGAACACTTCGATGTCGGTACCATGTAGTATATACTAAATCGAATTCTTTCTCACCGATGTCTACATTCTACATCGGAAAGAAAGAATTCGATTTAGTATATACTACATGGTACCGACATCGAAGTGTTTAGATGTGGGAGATCATATCTTTGCTGTAGTATATACTACATTGTATGTATTTGTTTTATTGGTGTTAATATGACAACAATACGACAACAAGTAAATGTTATTGTTAACGATAAATTTAGAATTAGAAATTTGTAAGAAACTAGACTTAAGTGTTAATATTGTTCATATCTAGTAATGTTCCTTAATCAATACTTATTGTAATATTGTTCCTAATTTTCATGCATTGAAGTATAATTATTAATTTCTTTTTGTTCTTAAATTGCTAATGTTCCTATTATTGTTCATGTTCCTAATACTGTGTCCGACCCACCATAAATCCCTGTCCTAATCCTATATTTTTGTTCCTAATTCCTAAACAATCTTTTTATTGTTCCTAAATCCCTGTCCTAATCCTTTAATTTTGTTCCTAAATCCCTGTCCTAATCCTTTAATTTTGTTCCTAATTTCTCCCCAAAATTATATAGTAAGCAAAGACGAATGCTCATAAATATAAAGTGCTCCCCAAAATAATATGGTAAATGATGATTACCATTCATAAATATAAGTGCTTCTTGAAAAAAGATTGCATATTAAGTAAATTTGTCTTCACTTCACCATTTTAATACTGTATGTAACTGTAAATGGAAGAAAGAAATAAAAAGAGAAAAAAAAGGAAGAAAGAGAAAGTGAGAAAAGAAGATTTATTTTGGAAAGCACTGTATATTTATGAGCAGTCGTCTATGCTTACCATATTATTTTGGGGAGCACTGTATATTTATAAAAAATAGTCAACACTTACCATATTACTTTGGGGAGCACTGAATATTTAAGAGAAGTCGTCTATGCTTACCATATTATTTTGAGGACTACTGTATATTTAAGAGAAGTTTTCAATGCTTATTATTTTATTTTGGGGAGCACTGTATATTTTTGAGAAGTTTTCAATTTTTATTATTTTATTTTGGGAAGCAATGTAGTGTGTATTTTGAAAAGTAGTCAATACTTACCATTTTATTTTGGAGAGAACTGTATAATTATGAGAAGTTGTCTTCATTTACCATTTTATCATGTATACAATTAATAACCCAAATTTAGACCATGAATAACCTTTCCTCCAAATGTCCTGACGGGAAAATATCTGTCTTAATAAACTATAATGTGTGAAAAGTTAAAAATCTAGTATTTTAGTCTTTAGTCATCAATTTTGACTCTTTTTGAGTATTTTAAGTCAAACAAATTTTTGCCTGCGGCACGATTTTTGTTCCTAATTATGAATTTTTTTGTTCCTAAAAAATCTTGCCCCCCCTCACTTAAATCCTGTATCCGCCCCTGACAATATGGCTCCTTTTGGTTGGATTCACATCAGGCTCCTTGGTTGGATTTACATCAGGCTTCAAGGTTGGATTCACAATGGGGCTCCTTGGTTGGATCAGACTCCTTAGTTGGATTCACATTAGGCTCCTTGGTTGGATTCACATCAGGCTCCAAGGTTGGATTCACATCAGGCTCCTTGGTTGAATTCACATCAGGCTCCTTGGTTGAATTCACATCAGGCTCCTTGGTTGGATTTACATCAGGCTCCAAGGTTGGATTAACAACAGGCTCCTTGGTTGGATTAATATCACACAGGATGGATTCACATGGGTGTTTCATGTTGAAGAGTTTGAGAGTAACTGAATCTCATGAGTGTACTGCTGCTGCGCGGGTTGATAAAAAATAAACGGTTCAAATGTTTGATTTAGTTACTTTGATCTCCTCTTTAGTATATACGACAGCGAAAACATGGATTATATACTCCGGCGGTATATTGACCACTTCACCATCGCACCTACGACAAAGGAACTACAGCGGGGACGTATGGAGTATATACTATGGAGGTGCATAATTGCTCCGCCCTCGCACCTACGACAGAGGAGATATTTTAGAAATATGGAGTATATACTATGGAGGTACGTAATAACTCCGCCCTCGTACTCTGGACAGAGTATCTACGGCGGAGATATATGGAGTATATACTATGATGGTACTTGATTACTTCGCCATAGCACCTACGATAGAGGAGATATATCAGAAATATGGAGTATATACTATGGAGTACGTAATTACTCTGCCCTTGCACCTTCAACAGAGTATCTACGGCCGAGATATATATGGAGTATATACTATGGTGGAACATAATTACTTCGCCATCGCACCTACGAAAGAGGAGATATAGCGGAAATCTGGAGTATATACTATGGCGGTGTAGTAATTTCTTCGCCATAGCACTTACTATGGAGGGGACATGGAGTACATACTATGGAGGTATAGAAACCTCTCAGCTATCGCACATACGACATGACGGAGACCAAAACACGGCGGAGATCGAATGTTAGCTGGGTACAGGGTAACCCACAAAGAATGCAACTTCAGAGACGACTGTACAGAATTTAAATTTTCTATTTCCTTATATTTAGGATTCTCTACAACTAAAAAATAGTTTCTTATGTTGCCATGTCAATCAATAGGCCATTACATTACATGAGAATAAGTTTGAAGTTGAATACAATTTTACTTTGGTTAAACTTTAAGAAAAATATCTCACCCCTCTTGTTTACTAAGTAATTGTTTCTGTAACTATTGCAAAATATGTATACTTGCATTTTATCTAATTAGGTTATATAATGTAGATCTGTATTTCAACTATCGAAAAAATGGATGTTTTTTTTTAGAAAATAATTGAGACGATTTAGAGAAATATTTATTTCATGAATTAAAAATGTTCGCCATAGTTATGGAAGCAGAGACGAGCACGGCTTTTCACACCAATGTGACACTTCTGGATAAGTTCAGGCTGGGTATTGAGATCATAAACGACTCTTGTAATCTTGGCTTTCAGCTCGTCGATGTTGATGGGTCAAGGATGCTGGTAAACCTGCCTTTTCATCAGAGGCCAGATTGCAAAATCAGGAACCAATAAATCAGGCGAATGTGGTGCACAGGAACTTCAACCCAAACAGTTGACCGCAGCAGGATCCGATCCAGACCATAACTTTTTCGGGAAACTTCTGGGTTTCATGCAGGAAGTTTTTAACAAGACCTTGCTGCCCTGCTCCACCGTTCCCTCTTGATTTGATGTACCTCGTGCAGTTTCTTTTGTTTACAGTTCCGTCTATATAGGATAAAATAGGTAAATAACAGGCAATTTTTTATGCTCCAGGAAAAGAGGGTTAAATGTTTTAATGAAGAAAAAAATTAAACAAGAGTCATTCAGGAATAGATATTTATAACTGATTTCCCCCATTTTTAAAGAAATAATTTTGCTTAAAATCTCTACAAATGATAATTAAGATTATAAATTAAGAACAGAACAAGAGGGATGCAACCATTCTTCAACTAAGAACGCCAAGAACGGAACGGAACGGGAAGACCGTTCTTCTACTCAGAACGGAATGGAACGGGACAGAACGGAACGAGAACGGAACAATAAAAAAAAAGAGGAACGAGAACAGAACTATTTAGCTGAAGGCCCTCGTTCTAGAACGGAACGGAACGATTTCAAAAAAGTCGGAACGTGCCCAGCCCTATTGGAGAGGTATACACCGATATCAATATACTATATCGGAAAAAATGTCACCGAATTCAACATACTACATCGTAGACTTTCTCACAGAATTGTCAGCGTACTACTACCATACTCAGGGGTGACTACAGGATTTTTTCATGGGGGGTGGGTTAGCCCCTTTTTCTAAAACTATGATGTTAAAGTTAAGTCAAGTTTAAAAATCCTATCATCCCCCCTGAGTATGAAAGAAGTGTGCTGTATACGCCCCTGCATACTGCCTAGTGCCTACAAAAATAAAAAATGGTTTAAAAGTAACAAAATGTATTTTTGTGCTTGAAAAATCTGTGATAACAATAATTTTCATAACAAGAATGAATATAAAAATATGCTGGCAAAAACATGATTATTTTAATTCCGCCTGTTTACAAAAATATATGCAGATAATTGAATTGTGCATGTTTACAAGAATATTTGCAAATAATTGAATTATGCAGGTTTACAAGAATATATGCAAATAATTGAATTATGCAGGTTT